GCTGAATATCTTTGTCTTGCTCACATTAAGTTAATACTGCAAATGTGAGCCTGGCTTTGCAGCATCTTCATTTGGGTTCTCAAAGGTCACCCACCACACACAGCTAAACTCCATTGGCCTGTGAGTCAAGCACAAGTTTCATGTCCAGGAACCCAGCTCTGCTGTTGCTTGTTTTGGTGGTTGTAAGTGGTGGTCTTGTTTTAAAGAGAGATTTCTAAAAATTCACCTTTGCTCGTAGTTATTTCTCTCAGCTTCTCCAGAGTTACATAGAAGCAAAGACCAGCTCTGCTGTTGCTTGTTTTGGTGGTTGTAAGTGGTGGTCTTGTTTTAAAGAGAGATTTCTAAAAATTCACCTTTGCTTGTAGTTATTTCTCTCAGCTTCTCCAAGACACATAAGCAAAGAACTACTTTCTGTCCCAGCACAGGCCTCAGACAGGTTGCTGTTCTGCAAACTTACAAACCGCTGTGCTATTCCAGCACCAACTCAGAGGGGTTTTTTAAACCTTTGAATGGGTCACTTACACTCACTGATCTCTGCTTTCAAAAAACAGTAAACCCAGAAAAATCTGTGAAATGGCTGCAGCTGGGCTGGCTTCCTTCAGGCTTTTGGGGCAGTGGATTTGTATGTGATTTCTTGGTTGACAAAAAATCTCTAGATGAGATGCCAGTGTTTAAACTTTGGACTTTGTAAAAATACAGTCATTGCAATACTGAAGTGTTCTCAAATACTGCATCTGCTAAGTGCTATCTTACATCTGACTGGAAAACAGAAATAACCATTCAGGACTTCAGCTGTAGGCTTTCGACTTTGTACTCACCATATTACTTTACATAAGAAGCTAAACAGCTTATCTTGCAAAGAAATTTACCTTTTTTTTTTTCTTGGTAAAGAGGTTTTGTTCTCTTGAGGGCTATCTCACCCTCTGTTCACACTGAGGGCACCTTCTGTGCACTGGCAGGCTGTGGTCAAGAGGCAGATGGTTCTTCAGCTGCAACACACCCTTACAGATCTATCCCAGAGTAATTCCCTTTATCTTTGTGATCCTTGAAGGATGTTCTGGAACTGCATAGGTCAGTTGTAGGGCACTGAACACAGTGTCATCTGTATTCCATCTTGCTGTTGCTGGTGATGCCTTGGGTGCTTTACTTGGTGACTGGGGTGGAATGAGGCAAACAACGCTGGTGGATTCTCTCTGCTTTGAATCAACTCCACTCTGTCTCAGATCAGAGCAGAGCCATCAAGCTCGGGGTCTGGAAGCCAGGAGGCTTTAGTGTGTCTTGGGCAGCATGCACAGAGCAGCCTGGCCTGAGGTTGGGCAGAACCTCCTGAATTGCCCTCTGCCCCTTGCGGAGCCGGGGCACATCTGTCTGGTGGTGGGACACTCATGGGCAGGCACTGGGGACAGGGTTGGTCAGAAGCAGTTGCCACCTGGGCTCCTGCAGACTCACCTGAGGTGGTTTTGGGCCAGAGCAGGAGGCTGGGGCTGGCCTGAGCTCAGGCCTGAGGGAGCCAACCTGGCCCTGGCTCCCACCTTGGGCAGTGCCAGTTGGATCCCCGGGTCTGGAAACCTCCTACAGCCACGTCAGGATTCATTGTGGTAGTTCCAGAGACTTTGGCACCTAGTGGAACACATCTTTTGTTGGAGTTTTAATGGGAACAAGGGATTCCACCTGCAGAGAATTAAGTCCTTTATGTATTGAGCAAGGAAGACATCGAATGATTTTGCACGTTTACATTTTGTTGCCATTGAAATAATGGGATGTGGTGACTGTTTTAGGAAGAAAAAAAACCCCAACAACTTGTGAGGGGGCTTTTCATGTATGTTATGCATTTCTAAGTCACTTTGAAGTAGATGTAGATCATATATCTCTATTGAATCTTTCAGTCATTGAAAGTGGTGAAAATGATTAGACTTCTGTCTATATTTTCAATAATTACCTTTCACATTAGATCTACCAGTCGGAGTGATGGATGCATTTTGTCCTGCTTTGGGTGCTTAATTCCTCTGCCTTGCTTACCCCCAGAGCTCTGTGTCAGCTCATTGTAGCTGGCTGTAACGATGTGGGTGCTCTTATGTTGTGCCAGCATCACAAACCAGTAAAAACAGACCAGTGAATCTGCTGTTGGTGTAATTGTCAAGTTCTATATGTGTGTGCATAAGCTGTGATTAGAAATTAGAAAAATAAATTCTTTTCCCTGGATTTCTTGTTTGCATTCACATGTGATAACTCCTAGAGGCAGGCTGATATTCTGATAGGTATTCTACTGAGAGATGCACAATTAAAGCTGTGTGGCAGGAATCCAAAATAGAGCATGTTACAAACACGTTGTATTATCCACAGACTAAAAACTAAACCAGAAAGGGGGTGCACATGTGAGGAACACAGGCAGCCACAACTTGTTCTCTGATGAAAAACTGGTGTCACAGTAGCAACTGGTCACTCTGCAAAGTTCAGTCAAACTTTAGACACATGAAGAAAGAAACAAATAAAAGCCTTACCAGATTGGAAGCTAAAGAATGAAGTTCACACTGGTTTAGAAATCTGTGTTTCCTTTAATAGGTTGAGGTCTATTGCAGCATGTGCTAACGATGTGAAATTTTGTATTCACTTAACCTATTGCCCTTTTCTTCCCCTCTGGTCACTTGGTTGTGTCCATGTCTAAATTTGATAAAATTCAGTTCAAGTAAAAGGCCTCTGTGAGGATTCACTTAAACCTGTTCTGAACTGGCTGTTAAAAACAGGGTAAGGCTGAAATAATCTTGGTTGCAATGGAAAGAAGTTCAGTGTGCTCCCTTCTCTTCCAGGATGGGTCAGTAACTCCTCAGAACCAGGGCCACCATCCAGATGTGCACTGTTCTGTGGTACCACAGGCAGGGTTCCTGGCCCAGTGTCCCCACTCCTGCTGTGGGGTCGGGCTGCTGCCCTGGAGCTACAGGTCCATAGATGCTTCTGTGTGAGCCCAGGGCTTGTGTCTGGAGTTAAGCAGGAGAGATGCAGAAGTCTCTGAACTTGGTACCTCTTCTCCTGGGTCCACAATTGTGTGCAGGGAATAATTTCTGTATGTGTGCAGGTCTGTGCTGGTGATGTTTGAATTTATGAAGATTTGGAAACAGCTGAAGCTTCTCTTTTTTTTTTTTTCCCCCCTGTAATTCTTTCTGGCACCCCCATATTCAGTGTGCAATTGTTCATGGAAGAAGGTTATTAAGATGATTTAGTTTGTGCTGGCACACATTATCTAGTGGTTGAGCTGGTGGTGCCCACCTGGTGAAACCTGATTCAAGATGTTTACTCAAAGCACACAGCTTCATTTTTCTTGAGAGACTGTCCAACTTGTAGATTTTAATGGAAGTTATTTCTAATTCCATCAAATTTTCCAGTAAATTTAAGCCAAATTTTATCATCTTAGAGTTGCTTAGGCTGCAAGCTAATTTAATATTGGTTTAACCAACTTATTATTCTGTGGGAAGTCAATATTTGCTGTTTACTTTGCTCTTAATGCTCATTTTGACCTAATCTTTACAAACTGGCACTCAGTGTTGTGGGTGCTAGCTGCAGTGTCTGAGCTCCTCACCAAAGTCCCTCTCTGCTCCAGGTGTACGTGAGGTTACGGCCGTTCTTCCGAGAGTTCCTGGAACGTATGTCTCAGATTTATGAGGTAAAAACAATTAAATGCTGCCTTTGGAGTTTCATTCTTAAATTATTCACGTGCCTGTATCTAACACAATGACTTTTTTTTTTCCCTTTAATCCATAGATCATTCTTTTTACTGCTTCTAAGAAGGTGTATGCAGACAAGTTATTGAACATACTAGATCCTAAAAAGCAACTGGTCAGGTAAAAATAGAAAACTGTGATCTTACTGTTGTAGCAAACTGTGTCCTGTCTCTGAACAGCTGTGCTGCAGGAGTGGCAGGGCCATGCTGTACTCCATGGTTCTCTGTAGGGTGTTGGGCTCCCAAGTGGGAAACAACCTTTTGGGTGCCAAAACTGTGTGAGAGCTGCTTTGGAATATGTATTGCCAATAAAGAAACTGGACTGGGTATCAGATTACTTTGAAACTATTCAAACTTGTTGTAGTATTAATAAATTAGTAATTACATAGTTCTCTTTACAATCAGCATGCTTTTATTTCTTACTTCATCCCAAAATAATTTTGTTTTGAAGTTCTGTAGTAGAGTTGGGTTTTTTTTCTTTGATTGGCATTTCATAGAATCATTAAGATTGGAAAAGGCCTCTAAGAACAAGTCCAACCTTCAATCCCACACTACCATGACTACTACTGTATCTCAAACTGCTCCCTCCAGGGATGGTGACTCCACCGCTGCCCAGGGCAGCCTGGGCCAAGGCCTCACCACTCTGCCAGGAGAGAAATTCTTCATAATACCTAATCAAAACCTCTCCTGGGGCAACTTCAGCCCATTGCCTCTTGTCCTGTCATTAATTACATGGGAGAAGAGCCTGACCGCCCCCCCTGGCTCCAGGCTCCTGTCAGGAGCTGTGCAGAGCCAGAAGGTCTCCCCTGAGCCTCCTTTGCTCCAGGCTCAGCACCCCCAGCTCCCTCAGCTGCTCCTCCCCCCACTTGGGCTCTAGACCCTTCCCCAGCAGCTTCATTGCCCTTCTCTGGCCACGCTCCAGCCCCTCAGTGTCTCTCTTGCACTGTCACACCACTGCTTTCTCAAGAGCAGTTCCTTAAAGAAACTAAAGAAATGCTGCTGGGTGAGATTCTTCCTGTGTTTCTCCTCTGGAAGGTGGATGGTTAGTGTAGGGAGCTTGTAGACCAAAGTGGAGTCTTCTCAGGGACTTGCCCAACATGGAGTGTCCTAAGTAAGGGCAGTAAACCACTGTCCCTGATTGGAGTCACAGTTGTATAAATTCTGGACCTGGGCCATCCCTGGCAGAGTGCTTCCTGCATCATTTTATTGTAATAGTCTTCAGTGAAAACTTGATTTTTTTGTTACACACATAATGAGATTACAGTTTGGACTCAGAGAGAGGCTGCATCTGTTATGTGGTAGTTTAGGGACATAGTAACTAATTTTCCATGGGAGTGCAAAGATGAAGTGTTCACTAGTTTCCCCCCATAGAATAGTTCTCTTACTGCTTGCTTTTGTGGCAGGCATGACAGAATTGTAGCTCAGGTTTGCCACTGAGTGGACAAATGAGGCTAAACTTCCAGATCCCTCCAGTCACTGGAGTGCCTGAGCCCTGCTGAATGTGTGAGCAAGGGAGATATTTGTGATTACAGGAGATAAGTCTGAGCATGCCCCCACAGCATTAAAAGTCTTTCCCCAAGAAGCTATTTGCTGTGATTTTAACTGTGTTAGGAACTGGGAGAAGATGATAATGTGTGGCCAAACAGTGCTCCCAGATTGGGCAGAAGGATTTGCATGTTGCCTGGATTTGGTTGGGATGCACGTGCCAGTGAAGGGCTGACGTGGAGGCAGGATGAGCTTTGGCTCTGGGTAGGGGTGGACTTGTCAGGCACTCCACAGGGGTGACTCACAGGCTATATATAAATTCAGTCACTGCTGAGGCATCAGCTTATTTTCCTCCTTAGCAACATTAGGAACTCAAGCCCTTGATGAAGTTAAGCACACAATGTACAGCTTCTAAAAACTCCACTGAAAAATATAAACGGCCTCCAAGAAAGTGTGTTGTGATACCACTGTGTCAAACCCAACAGCTTTCTGGTTTGCCATTTCTTTTTAAATTATCCTTAGGTGGCTGTCCCATGGACTGTGAGTTTTATTCCAGGTGTTTTTTTAATGTGAGTTCTTTTAGTCCATCCGTTTCTCCTGCAATAAATTAAATGGGAGTAGGCTAATTGGAAAGGAAGAAGTTGATGGAATGTTTTGGCCTCCAGGCTTTTTTTTTTGGAGCCCTAATAAGTGAAATAGGTTAATTGTGAACAGAGGTAACACAAAAAGGAAACGTTCCTCCCGACCCTTTGTGTTCTAACATGCAGTGGCGTAGGGAGGCCTGGAACAAAATCAAGGGGTAATAAACCAAATAAATCAGCTCCTGTGCAGAACTTATCTCTGATCCTGGGGCCTCACAAAATCATCAGAGTATTTTGGGTCCCTTTGTCAATCCTCTGCCAAAATGGTGAGAAAGCCCAGGGCCCGTTTACAAATATTTGGTACATCTGAGCTGAGCTTTTCTGTGTAAAAACAAACAGCTTTCTGCAGAAATAGGTTAATATAAAATTGCCTTAACTAGCAGTTTTACCAGCAAAAAGCTCAAAAGTGACTGGAAAAATGGGAACAATCCTTTAAAAGGAGCAAAGTAGATGAGAAAAGCAAAACCTGTCTTTACCTGTGGCAAAGTTAACTTTCCTTTCTCCGTGTGCGATGCAGATGCTGCAATTTGTCTCATTAATGTCTCATTAATTATTTTACTTTAATCACAGGCATCGACTTTTCCGTGAGCATTGTGTTTGTGTACAAGGAAATTACATAAAGGATTTAAACATTCTTGGTAGAGATCTCTCAAAAACGATCATCATTGACAATTCACCGCAAGCCTTTGCCTATCAGGTAAGGGGGCTGCTGGCGGCGGGCGGGTGCAGGAGGAGTCTCCCTGCAGGCAAGCAGGGAAATGCTGCCTCTTGGTTTAACTTCTTCTGTAGCTTTTGTGCTTCAGCTTGTATTCACGTGCACAAACCAAACGGTACAGATCGAGCTGTTTCCTTCATTTTTCTCCTGTTTTTGTGAAGAGCTGGTCAAGTGCAGGCTATGTGACTTCTCGTATGGGCAGATTAAAACCAGTCAGGATTCCTTCTCTCTCAGCTCTTCTAAAGAAACCACCAGTCTGCCAAGCCCGTGCCTTGGTCTCTGTGATGCATTTAGTTTTTCAGTGCTAGTGAAATCCCAGAATCCCAGCATGGTGGGGACCTCTGGAGATCATCTCATCCCACCCCCTGCTCCAGCAGGTCACCCACAGCAGGGTGCCCAGGGTCACAGCCAGGTGGGTT